GGGTCGACAACGAAGAAGAACGGAAGAGGACGCAAGAAGGCAACGCAGACGGCAGAGGCGAATCCCGTGTCTCTTACGACGCCGAGGCTGGGACCGAACGGCTTCAGCGTAGCGACCAGCGCACGACCATCAAGGCCAAAGTAGGAAGTCCACGAGGTTACAGTTAGGAACCGCAGAAAATAGGTCAAGTTCACGTCGGCAGGGAAAACTAGTATAGGAAAGTGTCCAGAATTTGAGGAAACGGGTGGCAACAAATTACAGTATTATAGTAGGAGACGTTTTGATGCGCTATTGCCTGCTCAAAAAACATTCTACTTAGGACATTTATTATTTCGCTATTTTCAGACACAGTTAAATTGTAAATTAGAGTAGTGCACTTGCACACATTATGTTCATTATATGCGATATCTTGAAGCGAGAGATTGTAAATTGAATTTTTGATTTCACGTGCAATGTAATTAGAATAGCACAAATATTTTTAATTTTCCAAGGGAAATCCCAGTGTAGATTAGAGTAATTATGTGAGAGTATCAATTTTGAAGTAAATTTAGTGTTCATTCACATGAGTGTGTGTTGTAAAGGTTTCTATTTGTGTTTTGATTATTCTTTGAAAAGTGTGATTCTATATTCTTTGTTTCTGTCATTAACTTATGCCACTAAAAGTTTATGGTAAATTATACGCTCGTTTGTGTGCAATCTGTGTGATTTTATTGTGTCAAGGGTTCAAACATTTCTCGCACCCTGAAGATCCTGCTCCCTAGATTTTTAAGCTCGCTTCACGAGCAAAATCTTGATAACACGCTTACGGTTCATGCCTGCTACTGTGAAGGTGGTAAGTTGTGGGTGTAGGTGGGTATGTTAAAATATATATATATATATATATATATATATATATATATATATATATATATATATACACAAATGGCAACAAGAAATTCAACGGTGTAAACAAGACGTCAATCCAACTATTAGTTTGAAATTAAACGCTTGAACACAAAAGAAGAAAAAAATCCCGAAATAGAGGCAAAAAATGAGAAAAAACCTAATTTCGTAGTATCTATCTGAAAGAATGTATGTAAGTACAACTGGCGACGAAAAAATCACGGGTGCAAACCAAACGTCAATCAAACTATTAGTTTTGAAATTATAAGCTTGAAATCAAATAAAGCTAAATCCAGAAATTGGGGCAAAAAATGGGAAAAAACTTCATTTCGTGCAATTTATCTGAAATCACGTATATAAGTACAACTGGCGACGAGAAATTCAACGGCGCAAACCAGACGTCAATCCGACTATTAGTATTGAAATGAAAGGCTTAAAAACAAATGAAGACCAAATCCCGAAAAATGGGCAAAAAATGATAAAAAAACCTCATTTCGTAGTATCTATTTGAAATTACGTATATAAGTACCATTGGCGACGATAAAATTAATGGTGCTAACAAACGTCAATTTGACTAATAGATTCGAAATTAAACGCTTGGAAACAAGAAACCCGAATCCTGAAATAGGGGCAAAAAA